CCTCTTTAGCTCATGGTCCAATACATACATCTCCTAGGCCTTGCTGCTGTATTGGTGCGCCAATAATGTGGTATCTCTCTCTCAAGTGGCCCTGTTCAAGATTCAGTACGTCCGCAACTTCATTGGAGTTCCGGCTGTAAGAGAGCCTCCCCCCAGAGACCCTAGTGCGGTATGTGTGTGAGTGTGAATAAGACGTATGTGTGTGTGTGTGTGTGAATAAGACCTGTGTGTGTGTGTGTATGAATAAGACGTATGTGTGTGTGTGTGTGAATAAGAGGTATGCGTCGTCTGTGTGTGTGAATAAGGCGTATGTGTGTAGCATGGCCAGGCATATGTACGTGTGTGTGTGTATGTGCAAATATAAAGTTTTTAGGGATTGACCGGCAGAGACGAGTCCGCGAATACACAAAGTGTGAGGTGGCAACACAGATGGGTGTACGACAATGCTGTCAATGGGACATGCACATGCTTCCTAATGCGAATGGCCCATACCCATACCTGCAGTGGTAGCCTTTTCAGGATTTCGGGGTTGCTTACTATTTAGGTCTATAGGCCTGCCGTGTGTGTGCCTTACCCCTTCTTGTGTGTCCGTAGCAATGTGTTCCGTATTGCCCATCCCTTGTATAGGCTTGGTTTTTGCGGAGCGTGAGAGGATAACGCCTGTTTCTAGTGTCTGTGTGTACCGTGCACCTCTGTTCAGGTTCTTGACGCCGTTTGGCATAAGATAACAAATGCTGAGTGCGACTTTTTGGTTGGACTGACCCTCATGTGTTCTGTTTCTGGTGTGTGTTCATTGGCAGTGATGTCTGCTGTGGATGTTTGGTCTGCATTCTTGCTCGTAGTCGATCTACGCTGTTGCCATGGTTATTAGATGTGCGCTGTTGCTATGGTTACTAGACGCGTTCTAACATCAGAAGTATATCGTCCATTGCTGTAATTGTGTTCCGCTATCGCTGCGGTTTAGTTTTGTTCTTGGCAAGGCGTGCTGCGCACGGCACTAGCACATCGTAACCATGGTAACACCAATCCGGAATGTCGGGGTTTTATACCAACAACTTTGACACTTGGACAGTAAGTACTAACGAACGTGCCTCTGTTTGCCCTATTGCAGCCACCGCCTATGGATTTCTGGGAGACGTTGAAGACGGCTCAGCAAATGCAGCTGAAACAGGTACGCTACACCTCAAAACTCTGACCATACACACGTGTTCCGCACCTCTGAGCTCTGACCGTACACACGCGTTCCACACCTTTGAACTCTGACCGTACACACGTGTTGGTGAATGCCACATCACCGGATCTGAGCTCTGAACGTTAAACGTGTTAGCAAATGCCCGTGAAGGAAGGGGTTTAGAACTCTCCGATATCTTCTCAACACCACACACACGCAGGAGAGAATTTGTTGTTTGTGAATGCAAATGTGAACATTTATCTGTTTCACAGCATGCATGTATGTATGTATCAACCCGCCTGCTTCGTTCCTGTAACCCCATACCAATAGCGGTCTGGGAAATGTATATACCTGTCTATATACACACTAAGATCTGCATCATTACAACTACACTTGTCTCGTGTTTAATGTCCTGCCCTGGTCCATTTTATTATCAGGATGGACAGGCCACCGCAGCACCGGCCCAGACTGTGATCAGTCAGAGCTTCAATCCAATAACGGGCAAGGCTACTAGTACCAAGAATGCCCGCGCCCAAAAGTCCAGGGCAAAGCGCAGAACTAATCGATAGGTGATAAGTGCAAGGGATTTGTACGGAAATAAGGAATCGCACCAGAAGGTGCAAATGGGCATATTTAGGCACGAGTGTGTGTGGCTGTTGATGCGGAAGCGTTTAGAAGGGCGTGCGAATTAAACAGGGCGCCCCAGAGTCTCAGACTGTTTCGTAGTACCATTTTAATTGTAGGATCGCCCGTTTTGGGCTTCACAAGTGTGTCCTGACCGATTAACAATCGTTATTACCCGCAGGCGGGCGTTGTGTGCAGAAGCGGTATAGCTGAACGCATCACAGCTAAGAGATATGGATAGATTTGCAGTTACTATCGGATCCGCTATAAATATTCTGTATCTAGTAGCAGGAAATAGTAACAGGTTGGTAGCAGGAGACAGTACTAGTCTAAAGGCGGGAGATAGTACCAGGTTTCCTTTCGACAATTCATATCATATTGACAGGCCACCACCACGAGGGCCATTGGCATAGCACGACTCTCTATAACGTGCACGTGTGCCGTCTTCTACGGATCAAATGGTGGCTACCCCGTAGAGATAAAAACACCTCCAGTCTAGGTTATAGATAGAAACACCTCGGTTATAGATAGGAACACCTCGGTTATAGATAGCAACACCTCCAGTCTAGGTCATAGATATAAACACCTCCAGTCTAGGTTATAGATAGATACACCCCCAGTCTAGGTTATAGATAGAAACACCTCCGGCCTAGGTAAGCACGCCGTTATGTAGCCTACTACTTACTTGTACTTAAGATGGTGTCTGGTTGTATGCACCCTACTCACACGTACTTAAGATGGTGTCTGGTTGTATACATCCTACTTACACGTACATAAGATCTGGTTGTATACATCCTACTTACACTTACTTATGATGGTGTCTGGTTGGAAACATCCTACTTACACGTACTTAAGATGATGTCTGGTTGTATACATCCTACCTACACGTACTTAAGTTGGTGTCTGGCTGTATACATCCTACCTACACGTACTTAAGATGGTGTCTGGTTGTATACATCCTACCTACACGTACTTAAGATGATGTCTGGTAGTATACATCCAAATTGCACGTACTTAAGATGATGTCTAGTTGTATACATCCTACTTACACGTACTTAAGTCGGTGTCTGGCTGTATACATCCTATCTACACGTACTTAAGTTGGTGTCTGGCTGTATACATTCTACCTACACGTACTTAAGATATTGTCTGGCTGTATACATCCTACCTACGCGTACTTAAAATGGTGTCTGGTTGTATACATCCTACTTACACGTACTTAAGATGGTGTCTTGTTGTATACATCCAAATTGCACGTACTTAAGATGATGTCTGGTTGTATACATCCTACTTACACGTACTTAAGTTGGTGTCTGGCTGTGTACATCCTATCTACGCGTACTTAAGATGGTGTCTGGTTGTATACATCCAAATTGCACGTACTTAAGATGATGTCTGGTTGTATACATCCTACTTACATGTACTTAAGATGATGTCTGGTTGTATACATCCAAATGGCACGTACTTAAGATGATGTCTGGTTGTATACATCCGCAAGATTTTGCCTCATGTGTGTGTTGGTGTGGTACTCCAAATATATATCTCTTGGTGGCAAACGAGTATCTTTGCTCTGAGATACCTGCCCACCTTCCTAAAAATTAAGGACTGACCATGAAGCGGTTTTATTTAGTGGTGCTATGTAGTTCCTTTTGACAGAGTTACTCTCCCAATTTCTTTATCGCGGGCAGGCATAGAGATGGTCTGCTACTGTTCATAGCGACATAGCCACTCTGATTAAATCACTCTAGTTAAATCGCTATATTTGAACGCTCTAATTAAATTCCCTGCCAAGTTCTGCATCGCTGGAACTAATATTCCATAAATGAGCTAAGTTAACACTAACATTGTACATATGAACTAAGATAACACTAACATTGTACATTTGAACTAAGTTGCTTTTAACACTGTACATATGAACAAAGTTAACACTAACATTGTACAAAGAACAGTTGACAAGTCGATCACTGCAAGTCTTGAACAACACGGATAATTTACAAATAGCCTATACCGTGTGTTCACTGAGAGCGTGCGGCATTGATTGAACCACTCACTGCATGTCCTGAAACAACACAGGGACTGATTCAAACTGCGTTCGTATAAAACACAAACAACACAGAGACAACCTATATGGTGTGTTTACTGTGAGGTATTATAATATTAATTCTTCCATGTTGCACTCTGTAATCCACTCAGGTACCACTCAGGGTTATCTGATTTTACTACTTCTCGATTGCTGCACGGGATATGTTGACGCACACTGGCGAACAAACAGAGTGTCAAGTTTCAACTTGAATCTTTTTTATGATACATATGTACTGTACATCTCAGATGTACACATATCGTATACTTTATCGAACACCGAAGTACTGATTGGACAATACGAAATGCGTACGAACCATAGCCCCCTGAAAAAAGACACATAATCCTAATAACCCTAAAGCCCTAAACCCTGCGAAGAGTAAGTATGTATGACTGTATGTATATAAGCCTCCACTGAGGTGCTTACAAATCAGTCCAGGCGCTTTCGCTCTTATTGCAACACCCTATGCCCTCGACTTTGTGGCTCAGGGGATGGCTAACGTGGCGACGATAGCGGAAGCGTCTTGAGAGCAGTTGTGCTCGTCAAGAATGACCTACAAGCACACGATGCGTGCGGGTTTATTTTTAATCAGCGTCACACATTTGCCGTGAGGTTACAAGATGGTGTACGCATTCACCATGTATGAGTTCTTGTTATTGGATATACTTCTTCTAGAAGCACTAGACAGGTCCGCTGTAGCAAGTTAAGAGAGAGTTACAAGCTAACCCTGCAGTTGTACTAATTCGGGTGCCCTGTACGACCACAATGCCGAGTGTGTACACGGCGTATTATAACGTAGCAAGTGGACAATCAACTCAAAACAATGCAGCCAGTGGTAGTCTTACAACAGCCATTGAATGCCGCCGATAGTTTATGTTGTCATGGCTAGTGTATTGCCTGTGTGTTTGCGATATGATACGTTCACAATCAGCAGCTAACTACAACTTTCATGGCAAGCACATAGTACTTTTACGGTCCACAAAAGCATACGAACAGTCTCGGAAGTCTACAGTTGCCGCTAGTGAATGGATGTCGATAGGGGTTTGTTGACCTGGTCACTGCAGCGGATGTCTGTTTGCGGTTGGTTACAACCGCACCCAGCAATCATCATACTAACTCCGTAAAAGTAAAATAACACACACCCACTGCAGTAGCCTGGGAGTGCCCCTGGAAGCCTGCCTTGAGTCTAGCTAGCGGATGGTTGTCGATAGTGGAGCGTCAACCTGGTCACTGGAAGCATGCCTCGAGTCTAGCTAGCGAATAGATGTCGATAGGGGATTGTCGACCTGGTCACTGTGGCGGATGTGTGTTTGCGGTTGGTTACAACCGCACCCAGCAATCATCAATCTAACTCGGTAAAAGTAAAGATACACAGGCCTACTGCAGTAGCCTGGGAGTGCCCCTTG